CTTTTCAAAGAGAAGAGATAACTGGGGGTGGGGGTGGGGGTGGGGAGAAAAATGCAACAATGAATGAATGGAAATCCAAAATCTCTGTAAATGTTCATTAAAAGTAATAAAATTAAAAAAGGGAAAAAGTATGGCTGGAGACCATATAATGTGGATGAGACTACTTGTTGCTGCTTATGACAATAAGATTTGATGAATGGAAATCCAAAATCTCTATAAATGTTCATTGAAATTAATTTTTTAAAAAACCAAAATGAAGCAGAAAATTATTAAGAGGAATGAAAATAAAGAAATAATAAATGGAGGCATAAAAAAAGAATAGGTAGTGCCGTGCTAAAAATTCTGGGATTTCCATTTGGGAATGTTCACTATCCCCCTGCCTTGTAAGATATATGTCTCTGGGACATATGTTAATTATGATGTCAAAATTCTGCCCTACAAATCTCCAATATTTGACAACCTTTGTCTCACTTAACCAATACCACCTGTTGAATTCTGGTTTTTCCAGGGTCCTGTACTTCGCTGTTAGTTCAGTACTGTTTGTTTAAAAGAATCCACCCTAGCCTTTGCCAGCAATGATTTTAAATGGAGGAGAAATGTTTCCCTCCTTGTGAACACAAAGTCCGTTTCTGTCATACTTCTCTTCCTAATTGGAGAGGTTTGGGGGTATCTAGACTCTTGCCTCACAAAGCTTTTCCAATGGGATTTTGTCTTCTTTCCCAAGAAGTTTCTGTGAAGCAGAGAGCACCTGTACCTCTAGATGTCAGCAAATTCCAAGCCTTGGAAATTGCCTTTTCTCCTCTTTTATGTCTTTTTGGTCTCCTTCCCATGCCTCTTTTCTTTGCTCTCTCTTCACCATGCCATATTCACCACACAGTGTTTTAAGACATGACAGGCCCTAGGAAATGTGTCGACAAATTTGGCTCCTCTAAGCAGACTCTTGGTGCTCCTCCTTGCATGGCTGTCTGTCTGTCTCTCTGCCGGTCTGTCCTCTGCAGGATAGTGGTCCCACAGCCTCTGCGTGGAGGTGAGCGTTTTCCTGGTCCTAGGTGTGGGCCGCATGGCAGTAGATGTGCATTATGTAGTCAACTGGTACAGGACCAAATTCCTCCTACAGCTGCCTTCTTCCTCCTTCTCTCTGTCCTGCATACACTGGGCTCTCTGTCTTCTTCTAGGAGCTGACATCCGCACTGCCAGGAACCAAGATGCAGGGCCTATTCTTGCAGACACACTCCGGAAATTCTTATCCGATCTGAACGTGGATGACGGCCTGGCTGCCCTCGGCTACTCCTCAGCTGATATCTCAGCTCTGGTGAGAGGAACTCTGCCCCAGGTAAGAGCGGCAGCTGGAAACCTTGCTCTCTTCTAAGCACAGAGAGAACCTTTCAGTCGCCACTCAGGAAATGCATGGTCCATTTGTGCATTTCAGGGTGATGGGCACAGAGGGTCCTCCCATGGTCCATGGGCTTCAGCGCACCCCACTTCCACTCTCCTTCCCCAGAGGGAAGCAGCCAAGGCTCCTTCACTTTATGTCTTCCCATAAAACTGTGGCTTATGGGAAACTTTTATGATACAACTGAAAGAATCCTTTATAAAACTTCCAAGGCCAAACGACCAAATTCTGTCATGCACGATGGCAAAATTTTCCCTTACTCTATTACTGCTCTTCTAAGGTTCCTCTATAAAACTAGGAGAGTTTGTTTCCAAAAGACCATTAATATTATTACCCATGATAGAAAGTTAGACATTTCTACTCTTTTGTGAGGGTCAAAGTTGACCTTTAAGTTAAGACTGTCACAAAAAAGAAATTTTTTTTAATGTGCTATGAAGGTTATGTATTTTATACCTATTTCGGTCCCTTTGGGTCTCATTAAATACAGTCTTAATGGAGTTAAAGTTTCAATTCTCAAAGCCCTCATGAAGAGAGGTACTTCCTCGTTGGATGGTCTTTTTCATTTATAATCAAACACCAGTGTGTTCAGGTTCTAGCAGACTAAAAGCCTGTCTGAGGCAATTCAGCATAAACAGACTTCTCAGAGCCATGAGGACCTGACTCATAGGCCATGTTGCATGGTCCGTAAGGCCATTCTTAACCCTCCTACAGGAGTGAGTAAATATGGCCAAAGAATTGATGGGTTTGAGTTATGGCATTGGCAAAGATCATCAAATAGATATGGACAAGAAGGACAATCTGTCAGAATCACCTTATAAGTAAGGGTTTGTCACATGTTTGTTGGACTTGTTATCAGAAGGAACCCAGCCCCGGAGGACAGCATGTTTTGTAGAAGGCCAGCAAAAGAAGAGGAAGACCCTCAATGAGATGGAATGGCACAACGGTTACAACGATGGACTCAAATATAGCAATTGTGAGGATACAAGGCCAGACAGACTTTCATTCTGTTGTATGTAATAGTAACAACATCAAGAATGGAAAGTCTTTGTATGCAACAACAAAATTTAAAAAATAATGTAAAGTCAAGGATTATATGAGTACTATGGGAATTAGAAATGTCTGTTAAAAGGTACAGTGTTCATGGATCAGTCCCTGACATTGGAACGTGACTAACAGCTGGATTATCCACTCAGACATGATTGTCAGAGACAATGAGGCTGGTTCAAGGTAGGGCAACATTTAGAGCTACTTTTCATAGGGTCACTATGAGTCTCAGTGGACTGGACAGCACATAACAACAAAGTAGCTGAAGTGGAGGGGGGGAAGAAGAACGAACTGGGTAGGAGGGTAGAGAAAACAGTGCAACAATGAATGAATGAAATCTCTGTAAATGTTCACTAAAACTAATAAAATTTAATAATAATTTTTTAAAAAAGTAGCTGAAGTAGCAGTATTCCTAAACTCCACTACAATTAAGCAATGCTAAAAAAAATCCTCCTCTCCACTTCCTAAGCACTTAAAATGTTAAAGAGTTCACTGCTCACATAAGACAGTGTTTGTATAGATTGGTCTCACGCATTCCACAGGTCCACAGGAACCGCACAGATAATGTCAATGAACAGAATGATGTAAGGCAGTAGGCAGTGGTGGAGGTTATGGTGACCCATTTGGTGACAAATACAGGACCTATATAATTGAATAACCTAAGTAAATGGAATAATTTATTATTCAAGCTGTATTCTGTTGTTAGGTGCCACAGAGCAGTTTTCAAAACAGTAACACTGTGAAACAGAGTAGAAGGTCTCCCTAAGCTGTATTCTTGCAGCTGAAGGATCTCAGGTGGTGCAGTGGTGAAGCATTCAGCTACTAACTGAATGATTAGTGGGTGGAACCTACCAGCAGCTCTGTGGGGGACAAAACGTGGCAGTCAGCTTCTTGAAGATTTGCAATCTTGGAAACTCTGTAGGGTAGTTCTTCCCTGTCCTATTAGATTACAAAGGAGATGGAAAGGGCTTAACAACAACAGGAATTTTGCTTTACAGAAGCAAATTGAGAAGTCTTTCTCCCTTGATGTTGCTAATTGGATTCAAACTGCCAACTGAACTGGCACCTGAGCACTTAACCCTTGAACTACAAGGAAACATTGGTAGAACTTACAACTTTCACTGAAAGTCAGACATCTAGATGTTTCTCTAATTTCCCAGTATACAAACCAAACCTCACTCACGGGCCAACAGTTTGACCGTGGGTCAACCCTAGATTTAGATTCAGATTCAGTGGATTCCATTGCACCCAGAAAGAGAAATAAATGGGAAGTAGAGAAATTTCAAAGTTTAGCAGGGCTTTTACTGTGCCCCTAGACAAACCAACAGTTCTTCAATTATTCTTCAAGGCTAACTGTGCAAACACTGTGACTGACAACAGACCTTCACAGCCTACTAGACTCTGCTCTCCACAAGGGCAGGATCCTGTTTGCCCAATCTGTCCACTAATTCATTCCGACCCTTGGCGTCTGGCAATAAGTGAATGTGTTAAGTGAGCACATGACTACAGCCCCCTCTCAAATATCCAACTCAAGTGAGCTTACTAGCTGAATAGTGGAAGCTTCTTTGAGAGCTTTCCTTAAATGAAATGAGGTTCAAACAAAGACAGAGAAGACTAAAGATGTGACCACGCTAGTTTTAATGTAGCCTACTGCCTTGTATCACAGGGGTCCAGAAAACTGTTCTTTCTGTAAGGAAACATCTGAAAAGTTCTCCATTTTTCAAGGCCAAGAGCATCTTTATGAATATGTATTTGCCTACCTCCAAGAACAATCTGATTTTCAGAGTAAACTTGTCTGACAGGCTTAGCCACCTCATTGCTGATGGTGATGCATCTTTCAGCAGTCAGCACCGGTTGCCAAGAGTTTGCTGTTCTAACTCTGCTGTGCTCAGATTTTCACTTTCAAAAGTTGTGCTAATGGCAGTAGAGCCAGACTAAAGTTTGACATCATCTCCTAAAATAGCAAGTTAATTAGGTATTTTTCTGATTGCCAGTGTGCTTATGTCATACTGGAGGGTACAAGGAACAGAAACTTAATTAGACAAAACTAATTTTTTTAGCCAGGCAAAAGATGGTAGGTATATTGAATTTTTGAAATATAAATCATCACCTATAAAGTAAGAAACCAGATTTTCTTCAGGCTTTAGTCACAAAGCAGATTGTGTGATACCTTTTTTCTTTTCATATGTTTTCATAATTAGGGAAAATATTGTTTATCGTCTGTTAAGTGCCATTATCCAGTTCAGTTTTGGAGTCAAGATAGATAGGTAATCAGAATTCCTTGATGTCCAATAGTTCTATCAGGTACTTTCCAGGCAGTCTGTACTCTTACTGTTGTTATTGTTGTTGTTAGGTGCCATCCAATTGAGTCTGACCCATAACGATCCTATGAATAACAGGTCTGAACCCTGCCCCTATCCTGTGGCATCCTCACACTTCCTGACTCCCTAGACCACATTGCAGCAGTCACTGTGTCAATCTACCTATTTGCTGGTCTTCTTTTTCACCTATCCTCTACCTTTCCAAACATGATATAACCCTCTCCAAGGCATAGTCTCTCCTAGCAACATGCCCAAAGTTTGTAAGACATAATTTCAACATCTTTGCCTCCAAAAAGCACTCTGGCTGCACCTTCTGCAAGACATATTTGTTTGTTCTTTTGGCCATCCATGGGATGGATATTTAGTCTTCTTCTCCAACACCACAGCTGGACTTTTACTGTTATGCACCTTAAAACTATTCTAGCCTCAACCGATTACCCAGCTCCAAAACGGCTTTCATATATTTAGATAGCTTAGCACCCTACTCTTCTGTTTCCAATTTCTGTCTTAGTTAGCTAGTGCTACTATAACAGAAATCTCACAAGTGAAAAACTTTTAACAACAAAAGTTTCTTTTCCTGAAGTTTGTTGTTGTTGTTGTTTTTATGTGCTGTTTGAGTCACATGAGACTCATAGTGACCCTATGTACAACAGCTCTGAACCCTGCTCTATCTTGAACTAATTTCATTGTCTCTGACACATCAACCCCCATTACCCTAGTCACTAAGTCAATCCATCTCATCAAGGGTCTTTCTGTCTTGTGCTGTCCCTCCACTTTTCCAAGAATGATGTCCTTCTCCAAGGACTAGTCCCTCCTGGCAACATGCCCATCATATGCTAGACAGAGCTCAAAATCCTTGCCTCCAAGGAGCAGCCGGTTTCAACCTCTTTAGGACAGACCTGTTTGTTCTCTTAGCAGTCCATTGTATATTTAATGCTCTTCTCCAGCACCAGAAATCAAAGGCATCAATTCTTCTTCTACCATCATTAGCCATTGTCCTCCTCTCTTATGTAATTTGCAACTAATTGCAAAGACCAAGACCTGCATCATGTAGGTGCACCTTAGACTCTAGTCTGACATCATTGTTCTTCAGTACTCTGGAGAGGTCCCTGACAGCAGATTTTCCCAATAAAATTTGTCTTTTGATTTCTTTCCTGAGAGCTGATACTAAGAGTATTGATTGTAGAGCCAAGCAAGCTGAAGCTGTTAACAATCTCAATCTCTTGTCACCTAAGGCCTCCTATTTCCCTGGAGAATTCTGTAGGGTTTGATATCTCTCTCCCCATCTCTGCTTTCTACCTTGCTTGTTTAATCTCTTTCATATCTCAAAAAAGGTTGATCCAAGAGAAACACCCTACATTCTGCCTCATTAACATAACAGAAGCAACTGGGATGTTAATTATCCCATTCCTAAATAGTATTATCACCACAGGGAGGGTCGTTATCATTTACAGCACATATTTGGGGGGGGGGGCAGAATTCAATTGATAGCACCAAGTTTTCTAGTTTGTAGAGGAGGTACTACCAAGGGGAATTGGGGATTGGTTTTGTCTGTGGCAGCAGTAAGCATTTTAGAAACAACTTCAGAATCTCACATGTTGGGTAGACTGGTCTTTACTTCTTGGTATCTACAAAATGTAAGGCCATGAGAGGGGTAGATTAGTTTCTGTGAAAAAAAAATTGCCAGAAAGCTTATTTTCATATAGTCAGCCTTTGAAAAAGAGTTGTTTATGTTCAGCAAGGAAGGATCCGTTTTCCCTGGAAGGAAAACACCTAGGCCAGTCTTCTTGACCCTGCACCACAACCCACACCAGAGGCAGCAAATAGCAGCTCTGTGCCTGGAGGTTCCAACTGCCTCTGTCAGGCTGCACGGGAGCAGGAAAGAGAAAACTAATATTCTGAACCGGATTTCTGAAACCTCTGGAAAGAAACATTTACATTCCAAATCAAAACATTTCATTCCTGAGGAGAGCTGTCTACCAAAATGAACACTTCCACTCCCTTGCAGACAGGCCAGCTGAAAAGCTGTTATTTTATGAATGTGCTAAAAGTAGTAGTCTGAATTTATTTCCGTGCCCATGGTAATCAGCTGTCCTTTGTGTCTTGCAAGTCTATAAATAATAGCACGTTGCTTAACATGTCTTACTTCAGAGAGAATTTTTACATAGTATAGCTGCATAAGGACAAGTCACAGAATTTCTGTGTGACTTTACCCTGTTTAACCAATTGTTGGTGTTAGAGAAACTGGACTTCTCTTTGGCTCCAAAGGGTCCTGAAGCACTCTACAAAAAGCCAATGGGATAGGGGGGTTTTTGTGTTTTGTTTGTTTTTATAATTATACTATTTATTTACAAAGTTCAAATACATTGTTTTCCAGAGCAGACAATGGGTAGTTTTAAGGGCCTTTAAATTAATCACATACAACTCTCTAAATTAATCACATACAACTCTCTCTATAATAAGGAAAACAATGTGGTAATAGTCTTAGTAAATAGCAAATACTGGACTTAATCTTTTGACCTTCCACAAACATATTACAGATGTTACTTTGAATAGGTAGCCTTGCTACAATTTTTTTTCTTTTTTTGTGTGTGTTTTTTTATTTTTTTTTAATTTTTATTTATTATTATTAAATTTTATTAATTTTAATGAACATTTACAGGGATTTTGGGTATTCACTCCTTCACTGCTGCACCATTTTCTCTACCCTCCTCCCCAGTTTGTTCTTCTTCCCCCGCCATCCAAGTGTCTGTTTTAATTGTCCAATTGCCACAGTGCTTGTCAAAGTCAGTTCTGATTAATCTCCTTTGTCAGTGTGTCCTTTGCCATTCCCTATCACTCCTCCCTGGGAGAGACTTCACCCTGATTCATAAGGAAAAGGGGATGGCGTATTCTCTTAGCTACTTCCTGCTGAAAAGGGATGCTGTGGGTTTCAGGGTGAAGATCTTCTCTCACTACTCTAAAGGGCCCCTTTGGCAGTAGGAAACACATAGACTATTATGGAGATTGATTTTGGAATTTAGATGCACTGTTTTAATTGTGCTTAGCCGTACATGTTCATATCCTTGAAGATGTATCATGGGGGGTTTGCAACCTAGAAGACACAAATTTAACTAACAAGTTATGAGTACATGAGTCAAAAATTATGGAAAAGTAAAAGAAAAGATTCTTTCATTGTTTTACAAACCCTCCCCCAGGTCCCCTCCACCATGGAGCCATCGCTCTAGACTCCTGTGATGACAGAAATACCTAGTCACATATCTCTTTTATACAGTTTTCTCCCTCCTCTGTTTCAGTGCAGTATACATTATTGAACCCATCTTACTCAGTCTCTCCCCAACCCCAAGGACAGTCCCATTCTACAACAGTGGCATCATATAATATTTGTCCTTTTGTGACTGGGATATTTCACTCAGCATAATGTTCTCCAGAGTCAACCATTTTGAATAATATTGCATGAGTTCCTTGTTTTTCAATGCAGCATAGTACAATTTTTTTTTTCAAATCTCTCCTTGGATTTCAAAACTTACCTTTGCCTTGAACACATTGGATAGCCTTGTCCCCACTTGTCTTCTCTGTCTGTCCAGCCAGCCAACCTGCCTTTTTTCATTCCTCCTCACACTTGACAACATTTATTGAGTGCCTATACATTCTTGAGGGAGCTCTGGTAGTTGAGTGGTAAGAAGTTGCGCTGCAATCTTGAAGGCTGAGGTTTGAATCTACCAACTGCAGGAGTAGATTGGACAGTCTCTTTCCATGTTATTTAACTGCCTCTGAAGACCTGCTGGAGGTTCAGCTATGGGTCAGTTCTGACACAAAACAACTGTCTACATGCAGAGCAAAATGGAGGTTCCCCCCTTCTTTGTAGAGTTTGAACAAGGTGGTTGAGAAGTCCTGTCTGACAAAGATTTGAGGACAGCATTCCTGGCAGGGGAACACAAGAGAAAGGCCCAAGACAAGGTCAAGTTCATGCTCATGGGGCTGAAAGAGGACAGTAGAGTGAAGTGAGGTATGAATTAATGAGAGAAAGAGTAGCCAGATAATGGTCAAGAGCCATATCTGGGCAAACATTGTAGGGTTTGGATTTTATTTTAATTGTAATAAGAAGTCATTGAGGAGTGTCAAGCAAGGAAAGGCTTCACTCTGACTTCCACTGGACAAAAATCACACTGACCTTGTGAGGAGGATGAACTCAAGGGGGCGAGAGTGAAACAAATGTGGAAGCAGAGAGACCAGGAGCTATTCAAGTAGGACACTTTAATATAGGACACTTTAATAACGATGATTTAAACTTAAGATACAGTAAAACAAGAGGTAAACTTCAGTCAGATTTGGGGATTATTTTATCTTAATTGATCGCTAATCCATCTTTACTGATGGATTAAGGGTCTACGACTAGGTAAAGAATGAATCAAGGATAGTTTTTCATGAGTTTCTGGGTAACATTTCTAAAAGGAAGTAAACATAAAAAAGGTGGTAGAAGTCAGACTTCTGTCTTGTACATGTGAACTTGAAGATGCCAATGTCTTCCCTCCTCACCATCTCCATAAATCCAGCAAATTAACTATAGAGCCCCTACTGTGAGTCATGCAGCTCTGTCTGTAGGTGATGCGTGTGGGGTGCCAAAGTGAGCCATGTACCTCTTTTACCAGGTATGTGCCCAACTCATGCTTATAATAGGAGAACAGATTGAAAGACCATGAAAACAGAACCCCAAAATAGCATATCTTTTTTGGATCTTTTGGGTTCAGAACTTTGGGCATAAGATAGGCTTAATAATAATCCCCTGTTCAAATGAGATCAAGAAAATACTGTTGGTATGTACCAGCAAGCTGAGTACTACTCATAGTGACCCCATGAACAAATGGATCTGAACCCTGCGCTATCCTGGACCATTCTCACTATCTCTAATGCACTTGAGCCCATTGCTACCATCTTTGTGCCAAACTATCTTGTTGACAGTCTTCCTTTCTCACACTTACTCTCCACCTGTCTAAGCATGATGTCCAGGCCCCTCCCAACAACATGCCCAAAGTCTGTGAGATGCACTTTCAGCATCCTTGCCTCTAAGGAGCACTATTGTTTCACTTTCTCCAAGATAGGCCAGTTTGTTTTCTTGCAGTCCATGTGATATTCAGCACTCTTCTCCAACACCACAGCTCAAAGGCATTGATTCTTCTTCTGCCATTTTTTAATGCATAGGAAGTGACTGAGAAGACCATGGCTGGAATCAGGCACAGCTTAGTCTCAGGTCTCTATTTTAGAGCAAAAAGACTGTTGCTTCATGGGAAAGAAGTTTTACCTAATAATCTTCTAAGATGGAGTTAAGCTAGTACAAAGCATGTATGCCTTGAAAAATGTAAATTTTCACACAACAGGGTACTACTCAGCCATAAAGAAAAATTAATTCCTGATGATGCTTAAAAACATTGTTGTTGATTGCCATTGAGTCAAGCATGACTCATAGTGACCCTATGAACAAAAGGCCTGAAGTCTTTCTATAACTATCGTCATTTATCAAAGTTCATAGAGTTTCTAGAGGCATGTTTTTTTAAGAAGTGGATGCCACTCTTGCTTCCAAACCTGTCTTAAACTGGGAGCACCACCAAACACTGTCCACCATAGGTAACCATTATGGCATTTGTCACCCCAATGGCACATGGTTCAGCATGATAGCAACACCAGGTGACCTCAATATAGCAAACTGACAAAGGAGTGCTGTACCACTTAAAATTATGTTCCTCCAAAATAAAATAACAATCAACTTTTAAATACAGAGGCCCTCCTGAAGGTCTTGTTGACTCTAAACAAGAGGCTTAAATAAAAACCAATATAACATGGCCTTTTTGTTGTTGTTATGTGCCATCGAGTCACCTCATGCCCATAGCAACCCTATGTACAGAAGCTCTGAACCCTTCCCATACCAAAAATAAACATAAAAATAAAAAACCCCTAACACATTATGTTAAGTAAGTTAGTCTGTCACAAAATGACAAATCTTATGTTGTCTCATTTACAGGAACTAAATGGGTAAAAACCAAAGATCATTAGTGGTTACCACAGGTGGAAGGAAGATGAGAGAGTTTTTCTTAAGGGGCTCTGAGTTTATGTTAATAGTTGTGAGGTGATTGGAAAAAGGGTACTGAAGATAACAAGAATATAACCAATGTGGTAGTGAATTGTGATATGTAGAAATGGTTAAGATGACATATGTTTTGTTAGTATATTTTTACCACCAAAAAGAAAAATCTTAAAAAGGAACATAATTTTGAAATAGATTTCTTGTAACCACGTTATGTATATTTTTATACTAGGTTATAATTTCTATAATTTAGTAGCTTTTATGTACTGTCTCTACAAAAGCCTTGGATAACTCCTTTTGTTTGCTGTTTCAGGAAAGGGTCACCAAGCTTGCACCACGTCCTCAGTCAGAGGAAGACCTGTCAGCTCTGTTTGAAGCTTCAATGAAGCTGTACTAATTCTCCTTTTCACTGAAAGAATTAGCATTGGCCACATTAGTTAAAATGAAAATAAACGTTAAAATAAAATAGATGTTCATCTAGCTAGAGCTTTGTCTTTCCACCTGTATACACGATGTGGCTGCTACCACACCTTCCTGCATGAGAAAACTTTGGATTGACATGTGATGTATCAAATGCTTAAGATTCCCTGATGAACAGAGGCAAGCCCCTTCTATAAAATATACTGGACAAATGTCCATATTATCAGGTCCTGGGGCAAAAAACTCAGTGTCTCTCAGAAATGTAAATGCATGCATTCTTTGCCCAGCAATCAGGTGACTAGAAATTTATCTTCACTCAAATATGTAAAGAAATAAAGCATGGATGTTTGAGATAACACTTTTTCTAACAACAAAAAATTTGGAGAGATCAAATCTTTCTTGAGTAAATATATGTGTATATATGCATACTTCTAAGTGCTATAGCACTGGTCTGCCAATTTGCTGTACAGAGATAATTCATGGTTGCTGTGATGCTAAACACTGTGACACTGATGTGTCAAATGTGATAATGGTTACCCATGGTGGACAGTGTTTGGTGGAGCTCCCAGAGAAGCAGGAGTGGCATCTACTTCCAAAATAGCTTGCCTCCAGAAATTCTATTAATTTAGAGAAATGATGAAAACTATACAAGTGTTCAGGTCTTTCATTCATAGGATCACTATGAGTTATCTACAACTTGATGGCACTTAACAACACCAACAACAACAGCAATATATGCAGAAGAGAGCTCTGGTGGCCTAATGGGTAAGGAGTATGCCACAAACGTGAAGGCAAGTGGTTCAAATCCACCAACTTCTCTGAAGTAGAAAGATGAGAAGTCTCCTGTGTTATATCCAGGCTCTAAAAACTTGCTGTGAGTCAGTTCCAAATTAACAGCAATGAGTGACTGAGCAATAAATGCACAGGAAATATTCAAAAGGATTAATAGCTGAAAGTTATCACTGGAAAAATGAATTTGTGAATGTAGAGAATTGAGAGAAAGCTTTCATTTCCTATTGTATAAACATTTGTACTGTTCACATGTGTCACTTCTCATTTTAAAGGAAAATTATTTTATTACTCTAAGTTACATTTGTTTTCTTTTATAAATTGCTAATAACAGTAATATTTAATTTTTTTGAAGATGAAAGTAAAGGTTTCTATTAGAAAAAGGTAAGTCACAGAGAGAGAGATCTTATATTCCAAAAGTAAAGAAGTAGATGTTAGATTATCAGATCTTACTCTGATATGTAAAGTATACACAATTACAAATAGATGGCATTTTTTTTCTTTTCTTAATAAATTTATTCACAAAAAGTGAGACTGCAGAGGGGTTGGGGGCTGTACATGGGCACAGGCCTAGTGAGTTCTATACATAGGGCTAGGAGTCAAGAAGCCTCCAGGTGGAAGGGTATTTTTTAATAAAAAAAATAATGGGAGCTACAACCACCCCCTCCCCGTTAAAAAGACACAAAAATAGACTTCTCTGAGGTAAATGGGGAGTCTGGGGCTTAAGGGTGTCAAGGGATTCACAGGTGCTGGGGCTTAAAGGGAGTGTCACAGGCATCAGGGTGGCTCCTGCATCAGTTGGTAGAACAGCACATAGTCCTCACTGGATGCCACCTGGTTTTCACTGACAGGGGAGACACGAGAATCATTGTAGACATGCCAACCAGTCTGGCACCGGCACAGGGCTGTGTAGTGACCATAGTGGACGCTGCCAGAGTGATTGCAAAGGGCGTAGAGCTGGTATATGGGGCTTCCTGCTTTGCCACTAGCAAAATCCCCTAGACTCAGTCGTTGGAGTGGGAAGTCTACACCTACTGAACTTTTCTTGATGGAGCCACGGGAGGCAGAAAATCTATTCAAATGGAGCACGAGGATTCTGGGGAATCGTTGTACTGTCAATTTTTTGGTACTTCGTGTTTTCTGCCGACATCGGTCACACACTGGGGCATTTTCCGATTCCAATTCTTCCTCCTTGGTGAAAAGGTTGAAACAATCCCGAAGAGACACCTTGCCCCCAGCAAAGCCTTTCTTGGGGATGGGCAGGGACAGGTCACAAAAAACCTCGAAGGTCTTGGAGCGATACCCACAGGACTGGCACTTGAGGCAACTTTTCAACTGGCCCACAAACAGATCCACAATTTTGCTGTCCTCTCGCTCCAGGTAACGCTTCCACATTAGATTGGCTCGGTCATCATCACTCAACTCTGGTTCATCTAGAAGAGCCCCTCCTCGACGGGGAGGCGAGGGAGCTGGATTATTGGCCAGGATTGGGGGAGCCCGGCGGCCTCCTCGGTTGATTTCCAGATGCAGCCACTCCATTAGGAGCTTCAGGAATTCTTGAGCATCCTGCTGGCTGTATCCAGAGAAAGAGGGAACGTATTTCTGGAAGACGGCTCGAAATCGGGTAGGATTCACAGCTTCACAGGAGTCAGGGTGCCAGAGGGCACCAATCACATCTGCAAAGGCTTCAGTAAGCTCTTGGGCTCGACCCCCTCCAGGCACCTCTTGCCAAAAGTCCCTTCGCAGACAGAAGTCCCGAAG